AAATCATTTGTGCATAATTATGTGTTTTATATTTGTGCCTAATTATATATTGATTCATGTTATTAATCTTAAACAACCTTGCCTTCTGGACATRATTTCATAACTATGCACATTTATTTTATGCAAATCAGCTCTTACAATGGCCTTTAGATGTATGTGTCCAGGTGACTGACCAAATRGCAAGAATAAAGGAGAAATATTATGAAAATTGTTGGCAGTTTAGAATCTTCCATTTGCATCAATTCAAAATGATTTCTTATGTACTATCTCATTCCCATCCCAGTGACAAGCCCATGAGGTTAATAAATTAATAATCATCATAAGTCAGAGTATGCATTTAGGAATAATTGAGGTACTTTCACTTAACATTTGTTTCCCTTTCTCCACATTCCCACAGTATCATTTTAGGTTTGACCTTGCCGTTGTTTCAGTTTGTCCCCCAAAAGTTCAAGTGTTGGAACTTTAATTCCTCAGTGCACCATTATTACGAGGTGAGGGCTAGTGAGAGGTGGTTGAGTCATGGAGACAGATCACTCATGAGTGGATTAATGCCTTTCTTTGGATATTCTGTATGCTTTCTTTGGATACATTCRCATGAGACTGATTAGTTACCCCAAGAACAGGTTGTTCTAAACAAGGTCACCTTTGGTATTTTGCCTCTTCTGTGTGTGTCTATTTKCCCTTCTGCTTTCTGCCACAGATTAAAGCAATACAAGGCTCTCATCAGAAACTGAGCAGATGCCAGCACCACATCCTTTAACTACCAAGCCTCCAAATTCAAGAACCAAACTAAACCTCTTATAAAGTACCCAGTCCACAGAAAACAGACTAAAAAAGACCCATCCTCATCTCTGACATACATTCCTCCCTCSTCTCCAACCTATCCCACACACAATGCTCTAGTATCATCTAAACACAGATCTGATTACTTCCCTCCCCTACTCAGGAATTCACCTTCCCACTCTCTACCTAGTGCTTTATCAATTCCTTTGAAGACTCTTGTTTTGTCCTCAAAACATATTCACATTTTTTACTGTAATCAATAATTTATACTTGTTACATTTAATAAAAATGTCATGGTTTAGATTGTTTTCATTTCTAGGAAAACATGCTACAGCAAGCTGGTCTTTCAGCTTCATGAAATGCTTGGCATGCCACTTCCTCCTGTTCTCTTAGGTACCCAGACTAGAGCCCAGTGTGAACTCTGCAGAAGCATTCAAGACATCTCACACATTAACACTTYTACCAAAGAAAAATCATAACTTCCATCTTGCTAGGTGTTTTCTCTAACACAAAATAAAAGGATCAGTAAAGCTGTCAATAACCAGGTCAATACTGTATCCCTCTTTTAGAAATTCTCAAAACTCAGCACCACATAAAAATAAATAAATAAAATTATCATGTCCAACTACAATAAATAAATAAAKAAGACCACCCAGGAATCAGGAGCCYACCTTGTTGAAATGTGTGCCTCCTTCACTGCATTTTTCCTCTCTCTGTTCTCATTACCTGGAAAGCCATTCCTACTTTCTCCAACTGGCAAACTCCACTCACTTTTAGAAAGCCAATCACTTCCTTTTTGAAACCATTTTCAGCCACTATAGTTGGAAATAATTGTTTTCCTTATGCAGATCTGCAGCACTTGGTATATTTATGTTAGATTTCATCAATATAGTAAGCTTGGATTTACTTTTTTAGTATCCCAAGCCAGATAATGAGATCACTGAAAATAAAAATTATCCCTTGCTCATCTGTAAATTACCAGAATCTAGCAAAGTTCATATTATTAGCCCAATAAATGTGTAGAATAAATTGACAAAAGAGTAAATGATCTTTAATGAAAATAAAATATGTAAAAACATATGCCATTTCCCTAGCTCTCTAAGAATTCCTTGCCGACAAAAAGTAGAACAATAATATGGCGGGGCGGGGGGAAATGACTATGGTCTAGAACAGCCCAGTCAGATGGGTAAATGACCCCTATAGTTGAATTTGTAAAGAGAATCCTTATCAGCCAAGATTTTGCCACATAGATCCCTTATGAGGACCATAGTGTCTCTGTCCAGGGTGCTGAGATTTCAGCTGGAAAAATCTGACTTTGTTTCTTAACAAGGAAAAGCCAAGCAGAACTAGAATACAAATGATTGCATATTTCCTTGTCTCATATAGAGACTTCTTTCTCATCCAGGATGTTAGGACAATCATATTCAATTTGTTACAGTTCAGTCAGTTTAAGTAGATWATGCTGACTTTGTTCCACAAAATAAGTTACCCAGTCCAAAGGAGGCTGCAGATTTAGAAAGAAGGACCTGTGAGTTAGATGTGGGTTTTCCTCACTACCCTTTCTCTAATCACTATGTGACCTTAGGCAGATTACCACACCTTTCTAGGCATGGACTTCCTGCCCTGTAAGTATTCTGTGATTAAGATAGAGCAAATCTTCAGTGAACCATAAGTGTGTGTCAAGAACTTTCACTTTTTTAATCCTCTCAAAATCCTGTGAAGTGGATATTATTATTCTCATTTTACACATGAGAAAACAGGGCTTATAAAGCTAAAGTAGTTTTCTCAAGGCCACTCCACAAACACACAGCATTGCCTGGTTGGGAAGTTCAATCCATTCACAGCTAGATCCACAGCCAAGGTGACTTCAAGACTTTCTCCGATTGCCCCTTCCATGACCTCTGGCTGCTGATGGTCATCTTCACATGTTTTTTATAACACTGGAATGGTCAGGGTACACAGTGCTTATGATTTTTTATTTTAACTTTTTTTTAAAACATGACAGTTTTTAGAATTTTTCTCATCATTAATGCTAACTATGCTTTCACTTCTTCTAAGGTGAAATGCCTCATATTAATCACATTCCTCAAAGAGTCTCTTACAGAGGCAGGGATACCCAGGATAAACAAAGCTTATAGCTTCTCTGTGAGTGAGCAGTCTCCCATAGCCTTGGAAGGCCTGCTTCACTTGCTCACACATGTTCCTCAGCAAAGTAGCTGCTACACCATCACATCCTATCCAGACAGCATGAGGACAACCCCATAAAAGGCTGCTGTGGAACATACAGTGAGGTAGCCTGACCAGAGCAGATCCTGAGCAAGTAGGGAAAGGGGGACTGACTTCCCTTTCTCACCCTATCATGTACCATTTGTGGAGTATATTAGCTCAGCTGCCTGGCCTTTCCTCAAGTCATTTTTCTATGGAAATGACTACAGAATGTGCACAAGTGTGGGGTCTCTAAAAGTTATCTCCACATTCTTAAACTAAACCCATTAATTGCTAAAATATCCATTCTTTTTACAGGAAAGTCAAGACTCAGGAGACTCAAGAAATTTACCTAAAATCAACAACCCAGAGATCAACAAAGCCCAAAGGCACCAAAATCCCAAGAACAAATCCTGAGCTCCTTAAAGTAACACAGGAGCTGTTCTATAAAGCAGTACATCTTACAAATGCCCTGGAGTCTCTAYGCCTCTTCCACCCCAAATCCTCTGCACCTCCATTGCCCTGTGACCTAGAACTTCTTTTTCAGTTTGTTTCCCTAACTTGAAATCCCTATCCTCTCTCCTTCCCTGTAGCCTGTGCTCCATAAACAGCAACTAACTCATAAACCAGTAATCCAGGTGACAGTAGCTATCTTCCCCTAAATCTCTCAAGATAACTTTTCCACATCATCACACATACATTCAATATCTAAAACAGGATTCTTGCTGTAGGAAGAAGTACACATTTGCCACACATGTAATATCAGAAGGAAGTCATTCGTCACTGCAATTTTAACTAGATTAAATGACAAATATGTATCAGCATGGCCATGTGGGTAACTATTTGCAGGATTATGAAATGTCACTATCATCTTATGCCACTCTTCCTGAAACCTTCTGGTGGCTTTTAGCACTTTCTAGCTGGAGTTGTGGCTAACTTGCACACCTCTTTCTTATGGCATCATTCCCTCTCCATGAATATCATTATTCCTTTGCCCCACCCTACCCTAATCCAGGCACTCCAGAACAGAATCCAATGCCTTGTGTGGACCAGACATGCAAACCCATTCATAATGAATCAAACATTTTGCAAAAGTATCAGTACTGTATGAAGGATATACCAATGCATATTGAATATTCAAAGCAGTCTAGAAGAAAAAACAAGAGGACAGTGCACAGATTTGCCAAGTGAAATGGGCACTGGTAAGGCTGCAAAGCAAGAAGAGTTCAATAAGAGCTGGAAGCAGCTGCCTGAAGGGACAGACAAGTGAATCTCTGGTGTGGAGCCTTGAGTTCTCCGAGGAAGACTGCCAGAGGAAGATTCACCAGAAAGGTAAAAAAAAAAAAAAAAAAAAAAAAAAAAAAAACCAAAAGGCCAGTGCACAGATTTGCCAAGTGAAATGGGCACTGGTAAGGCTGCAAAGCAAGAAGAGTTCAATAAGAGCTGGAAGCAGCTGCCTGAAGGGACAGACAAGTGAATCTCTGGTGTGGAGCCTTGAGTTCTCCGAGGAAGACTGCCAGAGGAAGATTCACCAGAAAGGTAAAAAAAAAAAAAAAAAAAAAAAAAAAAATCTCCATTACTCAAATGGGAAGGGAGTCCAAACATCCACAGCTCGCCCTATGACAAACCTACACGCTAGTAGCATCAGAAAAGCCTAGAACTGATTAAATTGACACTGAATGAGACCATTCGCACACTGTTCTTGCTACTGATTCCTAACATGGAATACTTTCGCCCTGAGTTTCTAAGCTGAGGGAAAGGTGAGACCCAAGTTCTCATGCACAGGTAGCCTGGGCGATGAAAAAAAGCTTCACCTGGTCCCACCACAACAGGCGGAGAGACCAAGGCAGCCCGTGGCAAACTGGAGTCGCGGTCAGATTGCGGKCCGCCTCGTCCGGGACCAGCTAGGAAGTCCGGGGTAAGCTACACTGCTTGGCAGTCCCTGTGCTGTGACAGCCCCTAGGAGTTGGCGACAGGGAGACGGCATCCCTGCAGCCGGCGCTGGGACTCACCACGTCCATGATCTGCAGAAGGCTTAGAGAGAAGTAGACTGTGAGCGGCTGGGAGTCGTTGGCTACGGGCCTCTCCAACGGGTTGTAGTTCTTGACCAGCTCCTTATAGAGCTTCCTCTGGAACTCGCCTTGCAGGGACACTTACGAAGAAAAGAGCACCGTCAAGCTGGTCAGGAAAGGCCAGGGGAGAGATCCCCACGCCCCCCTCTTCCTTTTCCCTCCTGCACCCCTGCTTGCGACCCCCGCCGCTCAACCATGCAGCCCAGAACTGCAGCCCCGGCAGCGCCCTGCTGCCCCTCTCTGGCGGGGATACCCAACCTAGCCCCCGAGCGGAGCGCAAAGAGCCGCCAGGGATCCCGCGGAAGAGTGGAGGACAGGAAGACGTGTCGGCTTTACCTTGCAGGAGCGACGCGATCAGCGCCAGCCAGACACCTCCCCGGGTGCCGCGCATGTTGGGTCCCAGAGCTGCCGCGAGCCGGCGCGCCGCCGTCTCGGCTGTCAGCCCGGGCCTGCGCCTGCGGCCGCGGAGCCACCTCTCCCGCTTGGCTCGCTCGCCTTTAAAGAGCCGAGCGCGCCCCCGCCTCGCCCGCCCCCGCGCGCCTCTCCACGTGATGAGCCCCGCCCCCGGCCTCCTCCCCGCCTGCCCTCAGGGGAGGGCCGGGCGTTTTCCTGGCTATCTCCAGAACTGCTGCGCCCGGGTGAAAGTGCTAGCACTTTGAGCTGCTTACGCTCTGGGTACCCTAGTTTCCACTAAGCGGACCCCGCATCACGCCTCGGGCGGGGGCTCTCCAACGCAGGGTTCTGTTCTTTGCGTTCTTTGTCCCCTTTGTGCGCCCTCCTGCTCTCAACCAGAAGCAGCATCCGACCACTTCGAGAAAGTCGGAAAAATTCTCGGATCCAAGACTCCCTCCTCCATATCAGCGTCTAGGTGGCAGCGACCCGGAACCAGGCTTAGGAAAGTCTCTCCAACAGGATAARACAGATCAAAGAGGAAGCCCTCTCCAACATCCCTTAAGCCCCGGGTATTCTTTTAGCAACCATTCCCTGGACATCACCAGCTGGATTCTGGGCTGGGTTCTGGATGTGCGGAAGGCAATCTACAGAAAAAGAGAGGAGCTGCAAATGTATGTTTTGAGATTCTCATTAGATAGCTTGATTTTTTTTCCATTCGCCTTTAAAAGAGATTCAGAATATTGAAAAGTTAACTCCAACTCCTGGTGGACTGACAACCAAAACTTGACGGTATTATTTAGGCCTTTTTTGGTCCCAGGTGGGATTAATAGGCAAAAAAGTTACAGCGAAGACAGCCGTAGAGATCTGGGCGGGGGAGAGTCCTGAATGTTGAGGAGGGGGAGGAGGTGTGGTTCTGAAAAGATATGAAAAGGGGCTGGAAGAGAGGTACTAGGGAGGGGCTTGGAGAGCTCTGGTGGTCTCTGTCCTGCTCCCAGAAACAGGTTACAGAGAAACAAATACTCGGGGTTTCCTGCGCCCCTGTAGGGGGCGCTGTCGTCCGCTGTCCAGTGGACCTCAGCTCATCTAAACTGCCCCAATTCAACAACTGTGGAGGAGGCAACAGCAATAATGTTCGCGCGTTTCTGAACTAAGACGGGATTTTAGAGTGACACTAAGAACTAGGGAAAGGCTCACAAAAAAAGTAACTGAGTTTAAAGTAGTAGTAGGAATGGTGTACTGACCCCCATAATTTCAAGGAAATACATTGTCCTTGCAATGAGGTTTCTTGAAGAAAATTTACGTTTGTTAACTGATACATGTATACACACGACAGTATAGGCTTTAACTGCTCTAAGGCCCCAGAAGAAGGAAGACTGATTCTTTTGTGGAAGCGTTCATAGAAGGGGAGACAACTCACCAGGTCTCTCAAAGAGCATGTGTTGTGCCATGGAAAGAGAACAACAGACAGGTGTGGCATCTGCCTCCCCAAACCCCCTAATCTCCGACCCTAGGCATTCCCAAAGGAATGAGCTGCAAGATAAAACCTTCTGACAAAGGCAGTATTAGACAAGGAAGTTAAAACCCAACAACAGAATAGAGAAAGCTCGGAGACATCAACTGGAAGATCTTCACTGGCACATCACCTCATGTGAGTGCAACTTATTCTCCTGCACACATCTTGCAAGGTCTAAGGGCCCTGCCTTCCACCATAAAAGAACATGAGCCCAGAGAAATTAATTCCCAAACAGAAATGATTCCTTACCATGGTGGCACCCCCATTATGTCAGAAACTATAATTAGAAGTATAATATTAGAACTATTTAAAATTAGAAACTATAATATTAGAAACAAACCATTTTAAGGTGGATCAACTGGTCAAAAAACATTTATGCCCTGTACTTTGCTAGGAACCTGAAGGACCCACAAGCACAATCCACTCAATTTACAAGTTAGAATGATGTGAGTATAGAAAAATTTTATTCACCATCATGCCAATAAGTAAGCCTGTGAGCTTTACTACATTCAGCTCTGTCTCTGGGATTCAGTTTTGCCTTGTTTTGTTTTAATTGGTAAAGTGAAGAAAGGAGTAGGAAATCCTGAGAGGAGAGCAGTGGGGCTACTCAGGCTCCACCCTCACTCCCATTCCCAGCATAAAGAAATGGTCAAGAGAACAGAAAATTAATACATACGTGAGCTTCTATAAACAGGGGTCAGAAACATATTCCAAGTAGTTACTAACAAACTGATATTGCCATGATAACCCCAGGAAGAGGTAAAGCAAAGATACATACTCAAGGATTAGACTCTGAAATTTTAACACACTCCAGGAAGACAACCAGAACTTGGACATATGAAAGATGGGGCACTGGAATAAAGATATTCACATAAATCCAGAGCCTGAAAAAGTTTCCTGTTCCATGTAAGAGAAACCAGAAAACCTCAACCATTTTTGAGGGAATTTGGGGAAAACATATTTTCTTCTTGGATTCGCATTAGTAGAAAGAAGGTACTCCAAAGTGTGTTAGGTTTAGGTGTGAAGTACAAATGTGTACTACCCACCCAGTTTAGGATTCAAGGATTCCTCTGCAGGAAGACTTCCATAACTTCACAAACAGAACTCCAAAAGAAAGTCATAGTATTCATGAGACTGAGTTCAAAATAAAAAACAAAGCATTCAAGGAAACAGACTACACATCATAGGGAGACATAGTCAACAGGAAGGGAAAGTCCATAGGCAGAAAATCTATACCCACCAATGGAGATAATAGGACAATCATGAGGGGGAAAAAACTATGAAATTAGTATGTTTAAAATGCTTAAGTTTTTGATCATGGTGGATAATGTCAGCTGTAATAATAATCTGCAATTTCCATTGGCTTAACTATCAAAGTTGATTTCTCCCTCTCATCACAATTGAAGAATTCAAGTGACATTCCTGAATGACTGCCTTCCTCCCACCCAGGTCTTTCAGGAATGCAAGATTCCTTCATCAACCAGAGAGTGAAAATAAGGCAAGAGCCATATTGAAAGAGTAAATTTAAAACTTTTTTCAATATTAATGAAAAATATCAAACCACAGTTTCCCTTAATTATGGATTTGACTACTGCTGAATTTAATTCATTAGTAGATTTTAAAGGAATTTTCCATCTATTTCAGTGAAGGATATTACTCTATAATTTCCAGTTCTTGTGGTTATTGTTCAATTTTGGTAGAAGAATTATGATAGCCACACAAACTAAATTGGTAAATGTGTTCTTCTTCTCTATTTTTATGAAATCACCTGTGCAATATATTATTTCTTCCTTAAATGTCTGGTAAGATTGGGTAGTGAGACTATGTGTCTGGAGTTTTCTTTGATAAAGATTTTTTAAAATATAAACTCAAATTTTAGTAGACATAGTATAATTCAAACTTTCTATTTCTTCTTGGGAAAGTTTTGTTAAGTTGTATTTTTCAAGAAATTTGTCAATTTCATTTAAGTTACTGGATTTTTGGCATAAGATTGCTTATTATATTTCTTATTATTGTTGTTATGTGTATAGTGACATCTTCTCTTCATTCCTGCTTCCAGTCTTTGTGTCTTCTTTTTTGAAGATCTCATTTTTTTTTCCTGATCACATTTGCTAAGATTAATCAATATTATTAACCTTTCCAGACAACAACTTTTTTGTTTCACAACTTCATTTTTTATTTTCTCAATTTTACTCTTCTGATTATTTTTGCCTTATAGTTAGTTTAGGTTTAATTTGCTTACTTTACAGACTTTCTAAGATACAAACTGAAATAATTGGTTTCTAATTTCTTTGAAATGTAAGCATTTTAAAATGCAAATTTTCAATTTCCTTTTTTTTTTCATTTTCTTGTGATTTCTTCTTTGACCAATGGTTTATTTCAAAGTGTGTTGTTTTGTTTTCAAGTACTTCGATCATTTCTAGATATATAATATTTGTATATTTATAACTTACATCCTTTGTGTTCACAGTACATTCTCTATGATTTCAACCCTTTTAACTCTATTGTGATTACTTATAATTCATTATATGGTAAATGTTCTATCTTGGTGAACATCCCATATGCACTTGAAAAGTATTCTGAAATTGTTCAGTGAAAAGTCATTTAGAGAAGTTGATAGTGTTGCTCTATCTATTCTATATTGTCACTGATTTTTGACTTTTTATAGATTCTTTGATTTTTATTCTATTCTCCCTTTATTTTTGCCAGTTTTGCTTCATGTATTTTGAATTGTTAGTATGTGTGTATGTGTGAATGGTTGTTATGCTGACAAATTGGCTCTTATAGCATTTTGAGATATTCTTTTTCAATTCTGGATAATACTCCTTTTCTTACAGTCTATTTTGATATTACTATAGCCACATCAGTCTTCTTATGCCTGCTATTTGCATGGCATAACTTTTACTATTTTTCATAATTTTCTATTTGAAACTCATACCTTCATATTTAAAGTATACCTTCAAAATGGCATGCAGTTGGGTGTTGTTTTCTTCTAATCTGAGTACCTCAGATATTACTTAGGGTGTTTAGTTCATTTCCATTCAGTGAAATAATTGATCTAGTTAGGTTAACTGTGGTTAAGTAGATTAGCATTTTATTAAGTTTTCTAGATGTCCAATCTATTTTGTAACCCTGTTTCTACTTTCCCCACCTTTTTTGTTTGTTGTTAGACAAAATTTTATATACTATTTTATTTTCTCTTTTAGCGTTTAATTATGGTATTGTGCATTTATTAACCAGCCACTCTAGGGATGGCAATATTCACTATTAACTTGTGCCTGTCTACTGCACTTACTACTGTACTATTTCCTGTAAACTTCAAAATCCTAATAATAGTAAAATTCCATTTTCCTTTCCCATCCTTTTTACGATTATCATCATATATTTAACATTTTCAACCACAGTTTACATTCTATACCTCCTACTTTAGATCTTTTTGCCTATTCCTAAAGTCACGAATATATTATCCTTCTTCTAAGAGGTCTCTGATTTTACCTTTCACAGTGAGATTTTTCACCTATATGAAATTAAATTTTATGTGTGCCATGGCTAGAATAGAGATTCATTGTTTTATATGATTTATTATTTATTCAGTGTACCCAGTACCATTTAATGAAAAGTTGACATTTTTCTCCCTTCAGTGTTATTTCACCTTTGTGTATCAGATAACAGTACACATATGGGTCTGATCTATTTATATTTGAATCAATATTACACTCTCTTAACTACAATARCATTTTAATAGATCTTTATACCTGGTAGTACAAATTTGTCATTTTTTTTCTATTCAAGTTTATCTGAGGTATTCTTACTATTTTAATTTTTATAGTATTATAATTTACTGGGATTCCATTTAATTTTTAGTCCAGTTTGGGGATCATTAAAGATCAGTCTTTATCATGCTGAGACCTCTAATCTATAATGTTTTCTTCCATTTATTTCTATCTTCCCTAGTTTTTATCAAGAACACTTTATTGTTTAGAATATAGATAGTTGGGGAAATTTTCATAAGGATTATTTGTAGACATTTGATGTATTTTGATTCTACTGAAATAATACACTTTTTAGCTTGACACAGCGGTATATTCCTGTAATCCTGGAGACTCAGGAGGCTGTGGGAGGGAGGATCAACAGTTCAATGCCAGCCTTGGCAACTTAGTGAGACCCTGTCTCAAAATTAAAAAGAAAAACATAAAAAGGCCTGGGAATGTAGCCTTAGTGGTAGAGCATTCTGGGTTCAATTTTTAGTACTACAAAAAATGATAATTTTTTAAAAAAATTCATTTGTAACTGTTACATATACATGAGTATATGGAATATTTGCATATCTTGTATTCAGTGAAGTTCTGAACACTTTTATTAATTTTAGCTCTTTTATATAAGTTGATTTCCCAATTCTGAGTCTTCCATTTCTTCTTCTTGACCTATTTCATTAGCTATGATATTAGCTAGGACCATCAAACTCAGTTGAGTAGGAAGGATAGCACAATACTTTGTCTCATTCTTAGTCTCAGGCAGAAGCCTTCAATAATTCATCACTACATTAATTTCTTTGTTCACTTAAAATATTCAGATGTGTTATCTCACAGTTCAGGAAGCTAAAAGTCTGAAGCCAAGATGTCAGCATGCTCCCTGTGCAACTCTGAGTAGTGTTCCTCCTGGTCTCTTAGCTGCTACCAGTAGCTGGCAATCCTGTCTGCTCCTGGATTTCTTCTCCATCATTCCAAGCCTCTGCTTTTGCCATCACATCACCCTCCTTGCCTGTCTGGGCCTAGACTCCCCTCTTTTTATAAAGGAAATCAGTTGCATTGGGTTAGGACCAACCTTAATGTCCTCATCTTAACTTGATTAAATTTGCAAAGACCTTATTTCTAAAATAAAGTCATACTCACAGGTCCCAGTAATTAATTAGACCTTCGACATATCTATTTGGGAAAAACAAAATGCAACTCACAGCAGCCATTAAGTAAAATATTAGCTGTAGTATTATTTATGTATGTGTGTATGTGATTCTATTTTTTCTTTATTTTTTTTAGATAATTCTTTCACAAGAAGGAAATTTCCTTCTATTCCTGTTCAGATAGGAATGGATGCGTATAGAATTATATAACTTTTTAAGCATCTGTTAAGGTGAT